CTATCTATCTATCTATCTATCTATCTATCTATCTATCTATCTATCTATCTATCACGTATATAAAGCCTGCACCCCAGAAAAGGGGATCAGCTCTCATTATAGATTGTTTTGACCCACCATGTAGTTGCTGGGAATTGAACTCAGGATCTCAGGAAGAGCAGCCAGTGCTCCTAACCTCTATGCTGTCTCTCCAGCCTTCAGGGAGCATTTGTTAACTGTGTGAAACTCCCTTAGGCCTTTGAAGACAGGCCATGGGAAAGAACATGGCTAAAGCCACCAAGGTCTGCTGCTCATCACAGATGTTTTATCTCAGTTATGTTACCTTGAAAACTTCTCTGAAAACAACTTTATATATTTTATTCCAAAACACCAGACCATCACCTTAAGAAGTAATAGCCAGAGGTCTTGGTGAGGGGTATGCATGAAGAAGGGAGGGTGGGACCGGGAGGGGAGGCTTATGGGGGGATACAAAGTGAATAAAGTGTAAATAATAATAATAATAATAATAATAATAATAATAATAATAATAACAACAACAACAGCCATACTGTGCTGAGTAATTTAAATGTATCCCAGTAGAGAAGCAGAACTTGAATTAATTTGGGGGTACTAGTATTTTAACTTAGATACACAAAACAAAAGGAAAACAAAATCTAATGGCCAAGATTTAAATTTTCCTTGAACATGGAGCCTCTGGGGTAAAAAAAGGATGTACCTGTCTCCTTATATTTATTTAGCAGCCATACAAACAAGCACATATATTTACCTCACATATTACTATTTTTACTTCCACCTGAAATAAATCCCAACATCAACATGAAGTTTCAAATAGTCCTCCAACTGCCCACCATGTTCCAATGAAATGGTACATCTGACAGTTTTGTTTCTGGTTTTCTTTTTTTTTTTTTTTTTTTCCAAACAAAGTTTTTCTGTGTATTCCTTATTGTCCCGGAACTCACACTGTAAATCAGGCCGGCCCTGAACTCACAGAGATCCATCTGCTTCTGCCTCCCTAGTGCTGGGATTAAAGGTGTGTGCTACTACCTCCCAGCTTCTGACAATATTTTTAAATTATAGGAAGAAAAATAAAAGTTCCCACTCAGAAACATAATAAGTATTTCACAGCCTTGGTATCCCAAACATCTGAGAAACCAACTTAAAAACTATACTTGAACATGTTAATTATCAGCAGGTGATCTGTCAGGCCTCTGAGAAAGGCAAATGCTGTTGCTTTACCCTCACACAGCCTCACATGTTGCCAACAAAAAAAGATTACAGCAAGCAGAACCTGTTTCCTAACATTCATCAATAGTCATCACTATGTCTCAACAACTCTATTTTTTACACTTTACTTGTTTAAAACCCAGAAAGATAAAAAATGGTTATTGAGGTATAAGACAAAGTTTCCTGTGTGTTCACAACTTTGCCAGCTTTCTTTTGGATATGGAGAAGATGAAGCAAGAATGGAAGGTGATGGCGGAGAAACTGCTGAGAGGAAAAATGCATACCTGAAAACCAGCTGTTTGAGTTTGGCAACATCCACAGCATGAGAAAGGGCTCTCCTTCAAGTCTCTGGACTTACATCAGCAAGGTTCCTTTAAAAAATAAAATGTTGGGGGCTGGAGAGATGGCCCAGTGGTTAAGAGCACTGACTGCTCTTCAAAAGGACCTGCGTTCAATTCCCAGCACCCACAGGGCAGCCCACAACTGTATGTAACTCCAATATCAGGCACCCTCACCCAGATATACATGCAGGCAAAACACCAATGCACATAAAAGTAAAAATTAAAAAATTATAAAAAATGTTATCAGTCACCAGAAACACCCAAACAATATCATTGAATAGAGCTCCTTTAAATCCATAAACTATGCCGCTGAATAGAATCTTTATTTTGCTTCTACTTTCCAACTTGTGAAAAGAAAGCCCTCAAATACTTGCAGCCCCACCTCACCCAGACTGCCTTCAAATTAAAGATTTCTGGATCATGTTTAAAAAAAAAAATCAATCAGCTTTATCATTCAAGAGACTGTTGTCATTTCATATTACAGCTGACCGTAATTTGTTAAATTATAAACAAGTTTAATGGATTATGAATGAAGCGAACCCTATGCCTGTGTAAAAGCAATCACATTTTAATTATGAACTAAAAAATCTGATCTTGTAAACATGAATTATAAAAATTAAAACACTAAAAACAATGCTAGAGAATTTTACAGTGGGAGAGTCAATTCTCTTTTACATACATTATAATTAATCAACTAATAAATATTAGAATAAGGCAAAAATAGTAAAACCATCCTTTTCTCATAAAGTTACACATCATCTTCTATAGGGACAGTTATCATGCACGATGAATCAAAAATATGAGCGCTCTGCTGCATTCCCAAGAACATTAGGCAATCTCATCTTAGATTGATCTAGTCATTTTTCTCTCCATCATCTTCAGCATCTAGTTTCCTTTTCTCTCTGAAGACCACCTTCCTCTTCCTCCCTTTTCCCTCAATGCAATCATCATCCGGAATTTCTTCTTTCATGAAGTATGAGGCTTACTTCTTCTCCCACTTCTGAACCTCCCTCATCTTTCTTCTTCTTCATAAACTTCAGATGGATCAGCTTCAGCTTCATCTTCCTCTTTATCCTCCCCAAATCTGGTGCTTCACTATCCTCCTAATGAAATCCACCTAAGTATGTAATTAGCTGCAGTAATTAAAAAATACTTTCTCAGTAATCTTCCAGGTTTGTGGCCTCACAGTTAAACAAGTCAAAACTTCAATAATAAAAGTTTTTTTGCAAAGCTTCTACTGTACTGAGATCTTTGATTTTATTTCCACTCAGACTGAGGTAGATAAGATTTAGACATTTCTCTGTCAGGGCTTCCAAGTCTCCAGAAATTATATTGCAACTAAGTTCCAACTTTCTAAATTTATTTAAGCTGGGAAGCCAAACCAATGAATGCAAAGTAATGCAAATACAAATGGCAAGTACCACCCAGGGTATGAGAGAGAAAGACAATAGCAAGCCAAGCCCAGTGGGTTGAGATTCTGACCCTGACCCCACCTCCTCATCTACACACCCCGGAGAGTGTCTCTTTCTCTCTCTCCCTCCCTCCCCCCACAGTTCTTACCCCCTCAATGACTGCTTGGAGATTGTTGTGTTTTTTTAAATTAAAAAAAAAAATATATATATATATACACATACATACATACACTATGTACTTGAGGCTAGAAGAGGATATAGGATTTCTTGGAAATGGAGTTATAGTTGTGAACCTCCATGTGGGTGCTGGGAATTGAACTTGGGTCTGCCAGTGCTCTTAACCCCTGAGCCATCTCTCCAGCCCAATTGATGAGTTTTGATGCTCAATGACACAGGGGGGATTCAAGAGAGTTTTCATTTGTGCCTTCATTTGCTCCATTGATGTTTCTCATTATTGAGCACGAATGTGTGCAATTTCATCTTAAAAATTAAATTGTATCTTATTACTTTATATAAAGAAAACTTGGTTTAAAAGAAGAACACAGATACAAAAATATTATCAAACCTACAAGTGTGGTGACACACACCTTTACACAGCAATTAGGAGGTAAGGCAGGAAATCTCCGTGATTTCAAGGCCAGCCTGATCTACAATTAGAGTTCTAGACCAGCCATAGCTACATAGTGAGACCCTGTCTCCAAAAACAATCAAAATCACAAGTGAACCAAAGCTCTCATATTTTATTAGTGTAAATGCAAAATGGTACAACCTCTGGCAAAAAATTTGTTATAAAAGTTACATATACATTTACATATGTCTCAGAAATGCTACTCTTACAGAATAAACACTCTTATATGTATATGTATAAAACTATACATACTTATAGCTCTATAATAATCAAAACTGGAAATAAATGTCTTCCAATGGGTAAAAATGTAAATGAGCTAATATATTCAGGCAACAGAATACTACTCAGGGAGCAAATTACTGATACACGGAAGAACTTGGATCCATATGAAGGATACTAAACTGAGTGAAAGAGACCAGTCTCAGAAGGTTACATGCTGTATAATTCCATTTATATAACATTCCCAAACAGACAAAAGTGTAGTCATAGAGAATGATGGCCAGGTATTAGAATAGGGAACTACCACAAGGAGATAACTCAAAGAGGATTTTTAAAAAATGATCTGACTATATCTAAATTGTGGTGATAAATATATATATAAGCATATACATATCAAACCTGTATACCAAAAATAAACTATTTATAAACATATATAAATAGATATATAAACATACAATATATGACCCAATATATATTAGACATGTATACCAAAAATAAAGAAACTAACTTTTCATTAATTTAAAAATAGACATATTTAAAACAAATGTATTATTTGCATCTTATAGTTACATATATTCAAAGTGGTAATTTAGAATTAAGTAGTTTACAATGTAACTTCAGCACCATTATTTACAGTACCATAGGCCATATTTTACAATGTACTTTGAAGTTCATAGAGCATAGGCAAATTTTTGACTCAAACATCAATTAAGGAAAATTATTTTACTGTCAAAAATGCTCAATACACATAAAGTAAAAGAACCCGTTTCAGTGGTCTTTGCTGAGAATGAACCAGTAGGTAAAACATTAACAAGTGTCTGCTAGGTTTTTTGTTGTTATTTTGTTTTTTAACATAAGCAGATTTGATTTTGCTGAGACATTAACGGTGACAATAAAAGTTATTAAATAGTAAATGAAAAAGTTAAATGACCCACAAACAGACTAAAGGTTACACAGGTAATTTAAAGGAAATTTTATAAATCTTTAACTAAGATATTTGATTAAAACCCAGAGAATTAGACACTATCAATGATACAAAGGTCAAATAAACTAATATCTACAAGTAAGAAAATATCAACTATTCATTAGCCCCACTAACTTTAATAATCCAATGCAAAAGAGTATTTTACAAACACCCTTGGAATGTTTCCTGGAGATACACAGTATTTTATAATATATGCTAAACACAACCTAAATGCAACATTTAGATCAGGGCAATGATAAATGCTATATATTCAAATCAGCTAAGTTAAAAAATTACTTAACTGTCCCCACACAGGTTTCCAATTCTGGTAGTGTTTGTTCTAACTTCTAGATAGAAAATGGGAGGGTAGCCTGCCTATGAAATGGGTCAGACCATTAGCTCCTTCCAGATGGCTTCCTCATCAAACTGAACAGTCTATGCAGAAGTGCCAGTGATGGTATAAGCCTGCCTGCTGTGGCTTTCTTTCACATCTTATGGAACTTTGGTCCCACTGTAGCTGTAATATCTGCATAGGGAACACTCTGGTTCAGCTCAATAGCTCGGTGTTTTTTCAGGATAAGAAAGGTATAAAATTTGGCAGCTGCCTGTTTTCGGTTGCTATCTTTGCATAGCTCTATCAGACTAAAGGACTGTATTCCCATCCTGCTGAATTCCTGGGAAAATAATTAGAAGAGAGAAGAGAAAGGGGGAATAAAATCATTAGAAGTACAACAGTCTGTGGATGCATAATGAACAACATATACTGCAATTTTTGATAACTATGATATCCTTAAAAGGACAGAATGACTCTAATAAGCTTATAAAAAAAAAAACAGGTCACTGAGAACAAACCTATTTTACTGGGAAAATGCCTACAAAACTACTAAGTTTCATACAAATTTATGTGTGACATAAATAATAGTTTTTAAAAGTGACATTAACATAAATATCTCTTATTGAAAGTGCAATAAGTTTAATCTTACAAACAGGAAAAATAACCTATAGGGCTTTGTGAGGTTTCACACATGATGAATGATCAGCCCATTGTGTGTCTTCTTAAAGGCACCAGAGATGCCTATAGAATAATCTTCAAAGTTAATGTGGAAGTGTACTTGTAGGTTTCAGTTGCAGCAGAATGTAGCTATGCAAACATCTCCTGGTTGGAGTCATCACATAGTGCCTGCATACCTACTAGAAATAGTAAGACACAGTACAGTATTAAGTTTGAAGATAGCACCTTTTAATGAAGACTAGGATTTGGAACAAAAGTATAGTTTTTATTTAGCCAGAAATACTGGACCAAATACTGGCCAGTATCCTTATGCTTGTCACACTCCTTGGATGGTTGTAATCTATATTTAGGAATGTCAATACAAGTTTCTGACAGTATAAAGTACTTGATAAATAAGTAGGTAAAATACTCCATTGTGCTTTTTCTCAACCACAGGCAAAGCACAGTATTAGTAACCTTTCTGAAATGGCATACCCAGCCTTCATTTATTTCCTCCCTTGAGAGACAAGTGTGGATTATATGGCCTTCCTCCCATGACTTTTTGATTTCAAGAATTCTAAAAATAACAACCAAATAACAAAACAAAGTAAGAAACCCCTAAAGTGTCTATTTTTTTTTTTTGCTTGTCTTCGTCTGTGGGGAGCCATTGGTTATAAGTTGTTATTGGTCATAGTCAGGGAGGAAACAAAATTAAGGTCAGAATTAGAGATCTCTCTCTTTCTCCTCTATCCTTCTTTTTTCTCTTATTTTTTTCTCCTATCTAGTGTTAGGGAAAAAGGGAAGAATAAAGGAAAAAGGGAGGAAATAAAGGCTAATAGGATGAAATGTAGATTATTGAATCTACTAGTCTCAAATATCTTACATTGGTATGGATTACTGTATATTGATAGAAATCTAAGGTTATTTTGTTCAACTTTTACTTAATGTATTGTACCTATGCAATTCATTTGAAAATGTGATGTTCTAGTCATATGAAAGCTAACTATTGCAAACTTCTAAGAATGATTGGAGATGCAAGTTAGCAGTCACTTATAATCTTACTTGTAAAGTCTTGTTAGATACTAGTTTAGTTAATTACAGAAATAAGCTCTACTTAGTCTCTTGTATATGTTTTCAAGATTAAAAAGATACTATATAGCTACAAATAAGCAATGCTTGTCTATTTACATATACTGATATATAGATAGATAGGTACATAGATAGACAGATATGATTAGGCACTAAATAATTGTAAATAGATAAATGCTATAAAATACGGCATGTAAAGACATTTTAACAATAAAAGGCTTTTCTGACAGAGAGACACATCTGCTCCTGGCAGCACCTCTAATCAACTTCAAAGAAGATGATGGGCATCAAAGGAACAAATGTGACAAGACAGCCACTATACAAAAAAAAAAAAAAAAAAAAAAAAAAAATCCTCATCCCAACTGCTGATAGCAGGCTGCCCAAACTGTGGGCAAACAGGACACTGAGAAATTGACTGTCCAACTTTGCAGAGACTAGGTAAGCCAGTCCTTCAAAATTCCTGCTTCACAGAAAAGTCTGTCAGATATTCTGGGCCAGTAGGGTAAAGACTGGATGCCCCAACCACATAGAGAAACTTCTAGTGACTGTCTAGGCAGTCAGCTGTCTCTGTCATTTCTATAGTTCTGGAAGCTGTTTGCTCTATGTTTCCTACATACTTAAGTAATATTTCATTCTAAAGTCTCTGATAGGGTTGAAAATTAGATAGTCATAGTCTTACTACAATTAAGCTTAAGACAATAGTTTATGTCTAAAAAGATGTTTTAAGGTCTAGACAGATGTTTTGAGGTTGATAGATACAAGATATGATAAAGTGATTTAGGTACAGAACTTAGGACTTACTAGGACAGGACAGTTAGTGGAATACTTTCTCCAAGATTGCCAAATATAAATGGGCTTTGAATTGTAAATGTAATTCTTACCTGATAATTCTCATAATTATTCCTATTGTATATAGTTTATTAATGTTAGAGAAAAGCCATTTTTTAAACAAAAAGGGGAAATGTAATGGGAGTTTTGTTTCTTTAAAAACTCAGTTATTTTATGTAAATATTTTTTTTGTTTTAATCCCAAGTGTGAGATGTTAGTTTCTCCTTTAGTTTGTCCACGGCTGATAATTGCCTCATGCAGGGGCATAGTCTTTGCCAGCTGGAGTTAGTTGAATTCTGAGGAATCTGAGAGGTATAAATACAAGAGTCCATAGGGAGAACATGCGGCCTGGAGGAGACATAGAGAATGTTTTGATAACGGTTTGAAGAAAGAAGGAAGAAAGAAGAAAACTTCTCGTTGTGTTTGCTAGTTCCATGGACTTCTGGATATCCTGATGACTGAGATTGGTATTGCTCCCCAAAAGAACCCAAAGACCCTACACAGCTGGAAGAAGTAAAGAGGTCTACATCTCCTTTCTCTTCTAACCTACTTTCTCTCCTACTTAGGGTTGGGTGTTGGAAGGGAGGTAGAGGCTTAAGCAGTTCCAAATAGAGTAGATTTAAAAAACAAGTGCCTACAGGTGCCAGATATGTAAGACTGAATATGTATGGTTATTTTTGTTCTTGTCAGAAACTTTTTAAAGTAAGGCAAAGAAACAAATAATGAGAAAAAGAGAAAAGAGAAAGATCAAGAAAGCAGCTGGGATACAAACTAAATAAACTGTAATTAATATAAAAATAAAATTTAATTAAAAAAATAAAAAAGAAAGAAGAAAACACAGTTGACTTATAGAGCAGAAAAAGGTAAGAGTGGTGGTTTGATGGAAATGGCCCCCGCAGACTCATGTGTTTGAATGCTTGGCCCATAGGAAGTGGCACTATTAGGAGCTGTAACCTTGTTGGAGGAAATGTGTCACTGTGGAGGTGAGCTTTGAGGGTATATATGCTTAAGCTACACATAGTATAGGACACAGTTTCCTTGCTGCCTGCAGATCCAGATGGAGAACTCTAAGCTCCTTCTCCAGTACTATGTCTGCATGGACACTGCCATGCTTCCCACCATGATGGTAATGGACTAAACCTCTGAAACTGTACACCAGCTGAAATTAAATGTTTTCCTTTATGAGAGTTGCCTTAGTAATGGTGTCTCTTCACAGCAATAAAACCCTATTTAAGACAGTAAGTATCAATGAGAAAGTCAGCAGAGAGCATGTCAATCTGAAGTACAGAACCTGGGAAACTGGGGAACTGGAGTCATTAGAGCTCAATGGTTAGAGACTGGGGTAAGAGTAAAAGCAGAACTGGAGAAATCAGACCTTCTATGGATGCAACAGCTTCACAGAGTAGGATACATCCATACACAGCAGGTGGCAAGAAGGTTTAATTTTGCAAATATCAACCATTGAGGCTTTGTATTTGGGACATGGATACTGAGTAGAGAAAAAGTGTTCAACCACAAACAGGGGCAGAGTGGTGTTCCACAATATTCAGTAAGATGACCTGACTCTGTGCTGCTTTTTGTCAACCTAGGAAGAAACATCAGGAAACAGCTTTCATCAGATTGACCTGTGGGCAAGTCTGGGGGGGGGGGGGGCGTTTTCTTCATTAAAGATTGATGTGGGAGGGTCCAGCCCACTGGGCAGGGCCATCACTAGATATTTGAGTAAATTCTCTAACATTAAAAATAAATAATAATATATTGAAAAGATTTATTATATAGAGAGAATATAAAGGGCAAAATAAATCTATAAAATTTGAAGATAAAGTTTCTAATTATTTATTTATTTAATTAATTACAGTTTATTCACTTTGTATCCCAGCTGTAGTAGCACCATCCCTCATACACTCCCAGTTCTACCCTTTCTCCCTCTTCTCCTCCTATGTCCCTCCCCAAGTCCACTGATAGTGGAGGCCTCCTCCTCTTCCCTCTGACCCTAGCCTATCAAGTCTCATCCAGATTGGCTGCATTGTCTTCCCCTATGGCCTGGTAAAGCTGCTCCCCCCTCAGGGGGAAGTAATCAAAGAGCCAGTCACTAAGTTCATATCAGAGACAGTTCCTGTTCCCATTACTAGGGAACCCGCTCAGAGATGGGGTTGCCATGGGATTCATCTGTTCAGGGATTCTAAGGGTTCTAGTTTATGTCCATGCATGGTCCTTAGAGTATCAGTCTCAGAAAAGACCCCTGTGTCCAGAAGTTTTGATCTGCTGCTGTATCCCCCAAGGAAACAGAAGCAGTCATCAAAAGTCTCTCTTCCAAAAAAAGCCCAGGGCCAGATGGTTTCAGCACAGAATTCTACCAGACCTTCAAAGAAACACTAACTCTAATTTTCTTCAAACTATTCCACAAAATAGAAACAGAACATTACCAAACTCAGTCTATTAAGCCACAGTAACCTTGATACCTAACCCACACAAAGACCCAACAAAAAAAGAGAACTTTAGACCTATCTCTCTTATGAACATTGATGCAAAAATATTCAATAAAATACTCACAAACCAAATCCAAGAACACATAAAAGATATCATCCACCATGACCAAGTAGGCTTCATCCCATGCATGGAGGGGTGGTTCAATATACAGAAATACATCAATGTAATCCACCATATAAACAAACTGAAGGAGAAAAACCACATGATCATCTCCTTAGATGCCAAAAAAGCATTTGACAAAATCCAACACCCATTCATATTTAAAGTCTCGAAGAAATCAGGGATACAAGACACATACCTAAACATAATAAAGACAATACACAGCAAGCCTATAGCCAACATCAAACTAAATGGAGAGAAACTTAAATCAATCCCACTGAAATCAGAGACAAGGCAAGGCAGTCCACCCTCTCTGTATCTCTTCAACATAGTACTTGAAGTCCTAGCTAGAGCAATAAGACAGTTGAAGGAGATCAAGAGGATACAAATCAGAAAGGAAGAGGTCAAATTATCACTATTCGCAGATGATATGATAGTACACATGAGTGACCTCCAAAATTCAACCAGAGAACACCTTCAGCTGATAAATGCCTTCAGCAAAGTGGCTGAATACAAAATTACCTAAAAAAAAAAAAAAATCAGTAGCCCTCCTGTATACGAAAGACAAAAGGATGGAGAGAGAAATAAGGGAACAACACCCTTCACAATAGCCACTAATAAAATAAAGTACCATGGTGGTATGCAACCAAGCATGTGAAAGACCTGTTTGATAAAAATTTCAAGTTTCTGTATCCTAGTTTTTAAGTCGATGAAGTTAAACTTTTTTACTGTGCACACAAAAAGTGATGAGGATGACAATAAACAAAGCATATTAGTGGTTGCTTGATATCAGGGGGAGGATGAGGCAAGAGAGAATAAAGTGATTACAAGGACATTTTGGGGTATTTTAAGTATGTTTATTATTTTGGGTGTGGTGATAGTTTTTCATATGTAAAAATAATTCCAATACATTTAATACAGTAAACTAAGTATAGCGAACGATACTTTAATATATATAATTTATTACTTATTAACTATACCTCAATAAAGGTGTTTAGAAAGTAAATAAATACAGATTAGGATTACATGAACAAAAATAGTCAATAACTTTAAAAACTAAACCAAAACAGTAACAAAACTCCCAGAAAACAAAAAGCAAATTTTATTAAAAACTGAAATACAAAGTTGAGGCTATCTTCAGAACTGTAAAAAAACAAAGATAAAAAGAAATAATATAGAGATGAAAATAATATAGAGGTAAAAACAACACAGGCTCTAAGAGCAACAATCAATAAATGGGACCTCATGAAACCGAAAAGCTTCTGTAAAGCGAAGGACACCATCATCAAAACAAAATGACTGCCTACAGATTGGGAAAGAATCTTCACCAACCCTTCTTCTGACAGACGGCTAATATCCAGTATATATAAAGAACTAAAGAAGCTGAAAAGCAGCAAACCAAGTAATCCACTTAAAAAATGGGGAACAGAGCTAAACAGAGAATTTTCTGTAGAGGAATATCGAATGGCAGAGAAACACTTAAAGAAATGTTCAATGTCATTAGCCATCAGGGAAATGCAAATCAAAACGACCCTGATATTTCACCTTACACCCATCAGAATGGCCAAGATGAAAAACTCGAGTGACAACACATGCTGGAGAGGCTGTGAAGAAAGGGGAACCCTTCTCCACTGCTGGTGGGAATGTAAACTTGTACAACCACTCTGGAAATCAATCTGGCGCTTTCTCAGACAACTAGGAATAGCGCTTCCTCAAGATCCAGCCATACCACTTCTAGGCATATACCCAAAAGAGGCTCAAGTACACAAAAAGGACATTTGTTCAACCATGTTTGTAGCAGCTTTATTTGTAATAGCCAGAACCTGGAAACAGCCTAGATGTCCCTCAACTGAAGAATGGATGCAGAAACTGTGGTACATCTACACAATGGAATATTACTCAGCAATGAAAAATAAGGAAATCATGAAATTTGCAGGTAAATGGTGGGACCTGGAAAGGATCATCCTGAGTGAGCTGTCCCAGAAGCAGAAAGACACATGGTATATACTCACTTATATAGACATGTAATATAGGATAAACCTACTAAAATCTGTACATCTAAAGAAACTAATCAAGAGAGAGGACCCTGACTAAAATGCTCAATCCCCATCCCAACAGGCAAAGAGGAAGGACATTAGAAGAAGAAAACAGGAAACAAGCTAGAAACCCGCCATGGAGGGCCTCTGAAAGGCTCTGCCCTTCAGACTATCAAAACAGATGCTGAGACTTATTGCCAACTGTTGGGCAGAGTGCATGGAATCTTATGTAAGAAGTGGGAAATAGTAAGATCTGGAGAGGACAGGAACTCCACAAGGAGAGCAATAGAACCAGAAATTTGAACACAGGGGCCTTCCCAGAGACTCATACTCCAACCAAGTACCATGCAAGGAGATAACCTAGAATCCATGCACAGATGTAGCCCATGACAGTTTAGTGTCCAAGTGGGTTACATAGTAATGGGAAGAGGGACTGCCTCTGACATAATCTATTGGCCTGCTCTTTGATCACCTCCCCCTGAGGGGGGAGCAGCCTTACCAGGCCACAGAAGATGACAATGCAGCCACTCCTGATGAGATCTGATAGACTAAGATCAGAAGGAAGGAGAGGAGGACCTCCCCTATCAGTGGACTTGGGGAGGGGCATGCGTAAAAAAGGGGGTAAAAAGGTGGAATCGGGAGGGGAGGAGGGAGGGGATACAAAGTGAATAAAGTGTAATTAGTGAAAAAAGACAAAGATAAAAGGAAATAATATAGAGATGAAAATTTTTAATACAAAGGAGTAAATAAGTAGAACCATTACCTGATCTACAAATTCTCCAAGAAGAGAAAAATAGACAAGCATCAAGAAGGAAAGCCTAATTAAGAAATTTTTTATATTTTTGGGCGTTTTGCCTGCATGTATGTTGTGCACCATGTGTGTATGGTGCCTGTGGAGGCCAGAGAAATTCGTCAGATCCCCTGGAACTGGAGTTACAGTAAGTCACCATGTGGTTACTGGGAATCAAAGATAGATCTTCTGCAAGAACAAGTGCTCTTAACCCCCAAGCTATCTCTCCAGCCGGGAAGCCCAAAATTTAAAAAGTCCTAGAATATGAAAATAGTGATTATATATCCAGCACAGAGCAATACAATAAATCTGAAGAAACAAAACAAAACAAAAAAAAAAACAAAAAAACTTCACGAAAAAACCACCACCAAAAAAACCTATCAGCTTCCAGAGAGAAAGTAAAGATCACCAAAATGAACATAAAACAAGACAGTGCCTAACAACACAAGAATCCTAGATATGTTACAAAAATTTATCAGATAAAGTATCTCCCAGTTATATAGAGAAAACCAACCAAGCTCAAGTTAAAAATAACAAAATTTAAGGCTTTGTTTGCAAAGTTGTTATCTCCTATACACCATTTATCTTGAAAACTTATGAGGATTGTACTGACAGAAAGATTTAGGATAAAAAAAAAAAATCAAAGCACAAACACAGAGAGAAACTAAGAGAAAACAAGGAATTTCCCATAATTGGGAGAAAGGAATGTCCCAAGACAAAAGCTGTGGAGAAGACGTACAAGTAACTAGTATGAATTAGACCAAGAGTATAATGAAATGCAAAAGGGATATTTCTGAAGGGAAAGTAGGGAACTAATGGGTCAAAGGCACATAGTAAAAGGTTTTATTACACTGCCAAAGAATTTGGAAAAATAATTATGGAGAGTTACATAGATATGAAGGAAATAAAATGATGTAATAAGAGGCTAAAGAGATAGCTCAGTGTTTAAGAACACTGGCTGTTCTTGCTGAGGACCAGGTTCATTCCCAGAACCCACATGGAGGGTCATAACCATCTATCTGTAACTCCAGTTTCAGGTGATCCAATGTCTTTTTCCAGCCTTTGCAAAGCACTTCATGTATACACTACACAGACATACATGCATGCAAAACACTCGTACATATAAAGAAAAATAATTTTTTTACAAAAAAGATGTTATAAACAAAATAACACAACCATAAAATTTATATGAAAACTGTAATAATACCATGAAGCATTAGTGAAAACTGACTTTTTACATAATCTTTGAAACAGAAACTGATAGTTATCTTTTAATAAACTTTTTCTTCTGAATTAAGCCCTAGGCATATCACTAAAAACCATCTCATGGCAGTGGACTTTCATTGTCCTCAACAAAAACATAAACAATATTTTGTTTTCATAAATATCTAGATCCTCAAGGGCCAGGGAATGGTCCAGTAGAGAAAGTGCTTGCTGTGCAAATATAAGGACTGGAGTTCAGATCTGCTGTACCACACAGAAATGCTGAGTGGGTCTGGTGGCCAGACTGTAATCCCAACATTCAGGAGTCAGATGTGAAGCATCTCCAGGGTGAGCTCACTAGCCAGACTGGCTGGGATTAGCAAACTCCTAGTTCAGTGAGAGGCCTTGCCTCAGGAAATAGAGTGGAGAGTGACTGAGGAAGCCACTTTACATCAATTGCTGGCCTCCAATACACAAGTACCTGCACATACATGTATCCCCATACTAGAACATGTACATACACTACACCTGCAAACACACAAAAATAAATAAAACAAAATGCTATCTTACCCGTAATTCATTTAGTGTTTGAAATAATCTTTGATTCCATTTCTCTGCCTCAATATTTTGTTTTCTGTCTGATGACTCCTGTTTGAATAATTGATAAATATTTCATTTACTCCAATTTTATCGAATGTTTATTATTTACCAAGCACTATATTAGCTACTATATTAACTACAGAAACACAACTGTAACAGTCCTGACCTAAAAAAAAAAAAAAAGTATGGTTTGATGATGAAGTGAATGACACAAAGAACAATTGTTTTTTAACAATTTCCTCAAGATTAAAACAATCCACTCTGCAGGAAAGCTGAGGAACCCTGCATACATACTCCTGTAAATGACCCCAATAAAATTCACTGGGTCACCAAGCTGGACTTTGGTGGTATCTGATCTATGGTGAGTTCCCTGTCTGGGGTGAGCAGACATGTTTTGTGTTTTCCCAGCAAAAGTTCTGTCACACAACAAAAACCTGTTCAGGGTTGTACCTTGCCTCCAGGATGTCTTTTGATAAACAGATCCAAAGTAGGATACTGTGTAGTCTTTACTGGTGATGCAGCCCAGCTTGTGCCCTTCTGTACTTTGAAAAGTAAAGTTAGCAAAGTCAGTAACTTTTGGCTAGGACTTTCAATGTGGCCAAGTCAGGACTCCAGTGATAGGAGTAAATAGAAAAATTGTAGAAAATTTGTTGTTGCAATGCCATCATCTGAACTTAGCTAATAATATAACACCCTTAAAATGGCTTAAGCGACCTCTCAGAGTTTGAGGCGCTTTGTCTATATAAGGCTAACTCACTGCCTGTCCTGTCATCTGACTCTGTTTACGCTTTTGTCTTTTAAAGCTGAATCACTTCCAGAGACAACTCAATAATAAAAACTATAAGTTAAAACAATTTTTAAAGAATTTAGTCTCATCTAACACCTTATGAGCTGAGAATGGAATCTTGGCTCAGAAAGGTATTGATCTGTCTGATAAAAACAACAGCAATAAAAACAAGGAAAACAGAGCAGGCTGCACAGGGCTGTGGATGAGAAGTGACATAGTTCTGACCTACTTTATCAGTTTTTCTAGGCTATATCTGACCATAGCATGCATCAGCAAACAAAACAAAAGAAACAAATTAAGAGGCTATAGAGGTGGCGCAGTAGATCAAAGTGCTTACTGCCACTGAAGAGGACCTGGGTTAGGTTCCAGCACCACATCAGGTAACTGACAACTATCTGTAACCCCTGTTCCCGGGAATCCAACAGCCTCTTCTGTCACCCCTATGCATATAGTGCATAGAAACTCATGTAGGCATATACACATGCACATAAAATAAGAATAAATCTAAAAATTAATACCAGGACCTAATAGGTGATTTGACAGTATTACTAATAATTTTTGATAAAAATTTCTTTAAGTTAAAAAAGCCTTCAGTACTCTGGGATAAGATTCAAAGAAGTAACTCAGGGGTTAGAAACATGGCACTGGCTTCTCTTGCAGAAAATCTGGGTTCAGTTCCTAGCACCCATAGGTGGCACACAGCCACCTACAGTTCCAGAGGATCCAACATTCCCCATTTGGCCCCTAGGGCACCAGGCACATATATGGAGTACTTTCATACAGGAAAAATACTCATATATAAAAAAACCTTTTAAACCTTGAAAAAATTTTATTTTTATGTATATGTATGTATCTTTAAAAAAAAATAGGTAGTAATGCATAGGGAGTCAGTGAGTCAAATTTCTGAACTTGATATCAAAATACAGCCCTATGAGCAGAACATTTCATGTTTTGATTTTAAAAACTTTTGTACAGAGATAGGTCTTATGCCAACAATGCTCACAAAGACATGCTCATAATATTTCATAAAAAACAAAAATTTAAATACCCATGGTTTTATCCAAATATAGTATAATCTCCAAAGACAAGAATGATTTAAAACAGCTATTATCAATATTTTAAAACATGACCCTACCTTTGATAAGCATAAAAACTGCATACTTACATTTAAAATTATCTAAAGTTTCAAAATATTTTAAGGATGAGAAAAAGGCATGGAAATTCTTCATAGCTCACCAAAGGATTCACAACAATCTCAGCTGTTTTTGAGCCAGAGTAGCCAAGGCTATGTAGTTCAGGCTTGCTTCAAACTCATGATTCTCCTGCCTGGTATGGGCCACCAAGCCCAGCTAAACATATTTCTTCAGATCATAAATTTAAATTATAAACTTATAAACAAACACAGCCATTTTCAAACCAAATTTCAAAATACTAACACTTAGGAGGACAACTTTTTTAAAATTTATTTATTTATTTATTCATTCATTTATTTATTTATTTATTTATTTATTTAGTGAATCCTATCACCTTTTTATTTATTATTATTATATTATTTATTATTTTATTATTTATTTCAATTTATTCCCTTTGTATCTCAGCTGTGGCCTTCTCCCTGATCTCCTCCTAATCCCACCCTCCCTTTTTCTTCTCCTCCCCCACTGGGTCCCTCCCCTAGTCCACTTATAGGGGAGGTACTCTTCCCCTCTGTCTGAGCCTATCAGGTCTCATCAGGATTAGTTGCATTGTCTTCCTCTGTAGCCTGGTAAGGCTGCACCCCTCTGGGGGAGGTGATCAGAGAGCCTGGCATTGAATTTTTTTTTCAGCTTTTTTTAAATTTTTTATTAATTACACTTTATTCATTTTGTATCCCCCCATAAGCCCCTCCCTCCTCCCCTCCCGATCCCACCCTCCCTCCCCTTTCTGCATGCATGCCACTCCCCAAGTCCACTGATAGGGGAGGTTCTCCTCTTCTTTCTGATCTTAGTCTATCAGTTCTCATCAAAAGTGGCTGCATTATTTATTTTTTATATTAATCGCAGGTTATTTACTTTGTATCCCAGCCTTCGCCCTCTTCCTCATCTTCTCCCTGCCCCTTCCCCAGTTCTCTAACAGGGGAGGACCTCCTCCCCTTCCATCTGATCCTGGCCTATCAGGTCTCTTCAGGCCTGGCTGCCATGTGGAGGACACTTTCAAGAGTACTCCTCTCTCCTCTGTTAGTCTTCCCTTCTACTTCCATGTCCCTTTTTAACTCACTGAGTTTAATTAAGGTTTCTGGAGTGGTTGGTGATACGCTAGAATAATAGAAAGTAAATACTACGATTACCACGTACATTCTGTATATGTATGAAATTACCAAAAATGATGTTAAATCTAAAAATAATTAAATATTTAAAAAAAAACCTTGCCAAAGAATACAAATATATTTACCAGCTCAGTTGGAAAATTTTCTTGGGCCAAGGAAGCATTCATTGAAGATGATCCCTCAGCAGCTGGAAAAACTGTTTCAAAAATATCCTGCTAAAAAAATTTTAGAAATTTATACAGATAATTCTGCTACTGGTTATAATATGAACAATTCAATTTTATTAAATGAATTATTAACATAAATGATAATTTATCAAACTAACATACTAATTATTTATTTTTCTGAAAAGCCTCAGATAATCAGTTCCTAACTTAAATATTCTTTTTCCATATAATCCACAAATGAAGAACCCTGCACACTACTTCTTCCATCCTCCTCTCCACTGCAGGCTCCATGTTGAAGCTTCTACTATGGGCTCCTGAGATCACTTTCCTTTGAAGTATTTTGTTTAGTGGTTACTCATGGCAGCACCAGGCTTCTGCGCAGGAAAGAAACCTGAGTGGGCAAGCAGAGTGGTGAGAGTGAGGGCTGGGGCAATGAGATCCCTACCAGGACTCTGCCACTAGAGTGGTCACTGAAACAAGTAGAAACAAACAAACAAACAAACACTTTATCTTCCAGAAGGGGAGCAAAAACAACAGAAGAAGGAAAAAGAGAGAAGGCCAAAAATGTTCTACTCTCCAAAATCTCCTCCTCTTTCCACTGCTATAAGGCAATGGCCTCTTTCCACCCTTAACCTGTCACTAAGCTCCATCCCTCAATCTCTGATCTTGTGTAAGGCAGAAATATTTTCTAATATACTTTCCTCACATTTTTTACTTCGGCTTTAAATATTTTAGTGACTAGGAGGCATTGTTTTCTTTTCTTTAGCATATATATATTTATATATAATATATATATTTACAGAGCCTTATGTTCTCTTTTTAATATCTATGAATATTCTATATTTTAGATAATTCCAAATTTATAATCACTGTATAAAAAAAAAATCCTGTTTTATGAGATTTCAAAATTATTGATCAGGATCAACACCAAACTTTACTACATTTCCCATATCTTTAACAGTTTTGAAACAAAGTAAGAATAGAACTGAAGATTAGAACATAGAATAGTACAAAGGAGTAAGAGTCAAAAGAACTGGGCCAGCACACAGAGAAAAATCTACTTTGCAAATAAGTAGTTGATAACTGCACTGATATTTTCCTTCCCCAAACCATAAATTAAACAAGTTTACCTAATAAGAATTTCAGTAGCTGCATTCTAGGAAATACCCCACCCCAAAAAGGCAGATAGCATGGCAATTCATTATATCAGTATGCAGTATATTTCAAGTATTTCATAGAATATGTTCTGTCTAAATGTACTGTGAAACTGTTTCCTTCCCAGGGTATCCATTTTCAACATGGATTAACTCTGAATTACCTGTGTGTGGATACACTAATGAGGGTTTCTGTTTCCCAAGTTTCTCCCTTCCCTCTTTTGCAGGGAGTCTTTCTAAGTGTGCCTCACTGTGTGTGTTTTTCTAACCCTAATAAAATCCTTTCTTTGCCAAAAAATTACAACAATGATGGAACAGACCTGAAAGTCACCGGTGTATTTTTATCAGGAAGCCTGTAATATTTAAATGACAAATGAGAAAATATTTTATCTTATTTTTCTGAAACAGGGTTTCTCTGTGTAGCCCTGGCTGTCCTGGGACTCTGCAGATCAGGCTGGCCTCAAACTCAGAGATCCACTTCTGCCTCCTGAGTGCTGAGATTAAAGGCTTGTGCCTTCATACTCGACAGAAAATATTTTAAGGAATATTTTTCTATGTTTTCAAATAAAAACTGTTCTCAGAAAAATTGTGGTTTGTTTCTTCAGAGTGACAAAACTATTTTGTTTTGGTCATAGACCTTTAGATAGTCTTTCAAATTAAAGGCCAAGATAGTTGGGAAGTTTACAACGTTTTTCTTAGAGGAAAAAGATAGTTAAGAAACGATACACAATCATCTGGCTAGAGTTCTAAAGGATCCTGAAACTTATTCAATGTAGGGCTTAGTAAGATTCTCAATATACCAGAATCAAGCAAATCACTCATTTATTGTGTCACATAATACATTTCAGTATGAAATTACCTTATCTTGTGATTTACTATCCTAAACTTTAGAGGAATACTATTTTGTAGATTAAAATTGTAATTTATTTTGTATTAATGATACTTATTCGAGAAAATGTTGAATAACATGAGATGAAATATGACTGATATATATATATATATATATATGAATATGTATCAGCCTCTCAATATTACTTCACTAGAGATGTATAAAAATATTTCAATGATTCTCTCTGATTAACTCACCTCAGAGTTAATATTCATACTGAAGTCCTCTTGAAAGCTACCCATAGATTCATCAATCACATTCTTCCAAACTTTGGGTTGACCTAACTCTCTGTGGGAATTTGGCTCTTCCATCACTGAGGGTTCTTAATTATGAAGGAAGTAAAGAAAACATTACCAAATTGCATCTTAAACTTAAATTGGCATATGGCTATTCAAAAAGAAAACTTCTGACTAGTAACTTGGAATCCAAGAATCTCAATAAAGAGTGCACACCTTTCTTAGACTCCCCTGAGTCTCACACAATTTATAATATTTATAAATTTTATATATTTATAAATTCCTCTCCTGCTTCTTTACACTTTCCACTCCCCATTATCCTCCAGTCATCCTCACTCATTCTCACACATTTACTCACAGAACAACAGGAATAGTTTAAGCTCATCATGGCATACTATTCCGTAAATTTTAATGTCTTCAGAAATGGTCTCTGGGCAGAAGAAGCCTATTCATCATATAAATTGGTTTTATTGCTTTATAATTGTCACAACAATACTAATCGATTATTAGCATTCTGTGAACTTTTTTCTAGGAAAATGGTGATATCTGTCTCAGGGTAGTTGTATTATTTAAGTACTGGTCTTTTCACTATCTGAGTTTTAGGTTGTTTTAAAACGAAACATTACTCTGCTAGACAAAGACTTTCTTTTCTAAGAGTTTATGAATATTGCCTTTCCAGTGGAGGAGATAAGAGAGAGAAAAATAATTGACACAGTATATATGTTTCATCTTTTGTATGTGTGTGGAGAGGGTACTGGGGATTAAACCGAGAGCCTCACAAACTAGGCAAGTCCTCTATCACTGAACTATACCACCTGCTCCTTTTAATTTGAAACAGGGTCTCAACAGGTTGTCCAGGCTGCCTCTGAACTTGCTCTGTAACCCAGGCAGGCCTTGAACTTGCAATCTTTCTACACTAGTTGGTGGGATTACAGGCCTGTGACACCAGGACTGGCCTATAATTCATCTTTGCAGTGAAGTCTTTGGCCAGAAATTAATGTGAAAAGCAGAAAACTGCTATACTAAGATATTACTTTAACTTACTTTTCTACAGATAGATATTATATTTGAAAATATATATTTGTACCTCGTTTTCATCCTGAAATATAAAATTCAACTTTTGCTTATGCAGCATTCCCCTTGACAAGACAGAACTAGGAAGTCTCACCTGGAATGTTGTGGTCTCCCCAAACTGCCTCCTTCTGTATTAATTTTGTAAGCTTAAAGTCAGTGGTCAGGAAGCATTTTGAAAACAACTGTAAAAACACATTTATATTCTTGATTTTATATTAGTAGAGCAATTCTACGAAGCACAATCACATATGCTAAAGAGTTAAAGCCATTTATACACATTTTTTTTTCAAGCACATGCCTTTAATCCCAACACTCAGGAGGCAGAGGCAGGTGGATCTCTGTAAATTTGAGGCCAGCCTGCTCTACAGAGTTAGTTCCAGGACAGCCAGACCTACATAGTAAGACTGTCTCAGGAAAAAAAAAAAAAAAAAAGAAAGAAAAGAAAATTAAAAGCCATTCATACACCAATTTTTAAACAAATTAAGCTTTAAAATAAAGTCTTCTTTTTCCCACATGACCAATTATGTTGTAAATGTAAGTATATTTGTTTATAAGCAAACAACCATATTCTTGTAAAAGATGGAAACAATTACCATTTTCAGTTCATCATGAATCAAATCCTGGGTGGCAGTTGACAGAAGTGTATCCACTCCTCCCCTCTTCTTCCACATCATCAGTCTTTGTGTGGGGGGTGCAAGGTCCAGAACCATAAGAGTGTCCACAAAGGACGTAAGCTGCTTATGCATAGTCTTACTACTTATCTCCTTGACTGGATCTATGAGCAATCTCCTCTTTCCTCTTTTCCTTCTATTAGCAGCAATGTCTAGCAAGAAACAGGCGTAAATGAACTTAGAAAGTTTTGTAAAATGATAGTCTAGGCTATATCTTAAAAGAATATCACAGATAACCTGCAGCGTTACACTGGGAAGAAAATCCCTATGTTCTTGAAATATATACTTTGCAAGGTTTTTGCAAAGCTGGAGTATCTGAGCAATCAAGAGCTGATACATTTTTCAAGGTGTTGTTTGAAGTTGCTTAGGAGGGTCTCTGTTCATTGCTAAGTGGGCAACTAAAAATACATGGCAAACATGGAGAAGGCAGTTAAAGAATCTGGAGTTTTCTTTCCTTTTGTTAAACATATAACAGGATAATGTTTCAAAACATCAATGTGTATCTTCAGTGTGTATTTCACTCCACACTAAAATTCATATATAATTTTAAAGTAGGTAGCTAATTCCATACCACACAGAAGTCAGAAGTCAAGCTTTTCTTTAGTAAAGCTAAAAATGTTTTTTGTATGTTTTTTTTTATTTTAATTTTTATTAATTGCACTTTATTCACTTTGTATCCCCCCGTGGTCCCCTCCCCTCTCCCCTCCCAATCCCACCCATCCTCCCCCTTCTCCACGCATGCCCCTCCCCAAGTCCACTGATAGGGGAGGTCTTCCTCTCCTTCCTTCTGATCCTAGTCTATCAGGTCTCAGCAAGAGTAGCTGCACTGTCTTCCTCTGTGGCCTGGTAAGGGGGAGGTGATCAAAGAGCAGGCCAATCAGTTCATGTCAGAGACAGTCCCTGTTCCCATTACTATGGAACCCACTAGGACACTGAACTGTTGTGGGCAACATCTGTGCAGGGGTTCTAGTTTATCTCTATCCTGAGTGAGGTATCCCAGAAGCAAAAAGACACATAGGGTATATATTTAATGCCAAACAGTATTACTATGCTGTCAGCCTTCTATAACATAGAATTGATTGTTTACATATCTCAAAGCATTTATGCTAGCAGGGTACCAGAGATAAAAATAAAAACATTAAACCGCTTACCTAAACTATCAATTGGGTCAAGAGCAAATCCTTCTTCTTCATTTGATAGTAATGTTGTTTCATTTAAATTTTCATCTTCAGGTAGATATTGGTCATCTGAATTACCTGGTTCTACTAATAAAAGCACCATGAAAACAAAAACAAAAATATGATTATGTTTCACATTAGAAGACAATATGAGATATAAAGTGCATAACTGAGGACATCCTGCTAGCTGGGGTAACACATACATTCTTAGATCGTGAATTTTTTTTTTTTTCCAGAGCTGAGGACTGAACCCAGGGCCTTGTGCTTGCTAGGTAAGCGCTCTACCACTGAGCTAAATCCCCAACCCCAGAATCGTGAATTTTTAACAGAGGCAAGGTTCAGTAATAAATGGTCTGGGACCTACAACATTTGAATGAGTTAAGTAGCATCACCCTCTTTTGCCTATGAGGTATCTTAGGCTGGGCTACAGTCACAGCAGAAGTGAAAACAAAAAAAACATTATCAATATAAATTTCCTATGAAAACTAAAATATTTATGTTTGGTTGAACCATCAACTGACTCATGATAAAGAACTATAGCTATGTTTTGATTGCCCAATACTTTTTATATTTTTTATTTTGATTATTGTGCTAGAAAGCAAATGTAACATCAAACATTGAGAAAAACAAAAATGAGGTTAACTAGACTTTAAATACTTAAGGAAAAGTATCTATCTTAAAAACCTTAGCTTAGCTCATCTGAGGTACTTTGGTAAGAATTTCAATTAGAGAAAAATATGTAAAAGACTTCAACATACCTATTATACTACTGGGAAATTCAGGAGGCAGAGAAATTTCTTTGTCTGAACATATGTCTTCTAAAAAGGTATTCTCATCTTGCAATAGATTGTCTTTAAAAACAAAAATATTTTTTATTCTCCAAACATTTACTAGCATTAGTTTACATAGACATTATACTCCAGCATCTTAAACTATGAATTTTCATTTTATATGGGGTTAGATAACTGAATTTAGAGGGGTTGTGGTGTTATGAAAATTTTGGCAACAAGGAAAACCTCCCCTTTTCTGAGAAGGAGGAGAAAGGGGAATGGGAGGAGGTGAGCACGAGGGTGGGACTGGAAGGAGAGGTGGGATGGGGCCTGAAATCAGTTCAGGCTGTGAACTATTAAATATTAAAAATGAAAATAAGATACTAATAGCATTGTAGAAATATTCATTATACATGTGCTTTGTGCATTTCTGTCCATTAAAGAAGAAATATGTAGAAATATGTAGTCATAATTGCTGCCTTTCTTATTTATCCCTTAAATCTGTTTGGATTTTCCCTTATGAATTTTTGCAACATTGTTATTGGGTATATATACACTTAGGACTGTTGTGATTTGTTTGTCACAAAAAGATGTAATTCACTCTTTATCATTTAAAGTACTTCCAAGGTTGTAAAAAAAAAAAAATCAAATGTATTTCTGGCAGTGCTCACTTATGCTTCATTTTGCCTCTGTAGTGTGGCCTTGGTTCTGAACACATAATGGGCACTTTGCACTGTGCGTGCCGTCAGCTGCTACAACCACTGCCTGAAATACCTTGGCACAGATTAAACATTCTGTATATTATGAATTATATGTTTTTAACTATGCATACAACTTTTTCTGTGCTAATAGAAACAGACAGCCCTCAGAGGAAGACAACACAGCCAGTCCTGATGAGACCTGATAGGCTAGGATCAGATGGAAAAGGAGGAGGACCTCCCCTATCAGTGGACTTGGGGAGAGGAATGGGAGGAAAAGAAGGAGAAAAGGTGGGATTGGGAGAGGTTGAGAGAGGGGCTACAGCTGGGATAAAAATGAATGAATTGTAATAAATAAAAAATTAAAAAGAAATAGAGGTAGTTATAGTAAATGAAGACATTTACTATTTCTCTACCACTACTCCTTGCAAATTAACAAGGAATACATCTTTAGATTATAATTACACATATCTCTATCATCTTGTATATTATTTATGCAAATCAGTGTTCTTAGCATTACAAATTTTAAAACTGAAATATTGAGCAACTCAGGCTAGAGAGATGCCTCAGTAGTTAAGAGCACTGGTTGCTCTTCCAGAGGTCCTGAGTTCAATTCCCAGGAACCACAATTATCTCACAACCATTGGAAATGGGATCTGATGACCTCTTCTGGTGTATATGAAGACAGAGTACTCATATATAAATAAAATAAACATATCTTTAAAAAAAAAAAAGAAACATTGATCAACTCTGAAAAACACTGAAAATGTTCTATATCCTACAGTATCAAAAGTTTAGTGGAAATTTAGGGTTTTTTCATGTAAAAGTAAACTAACATATCATCTCAATTTCATGTGTTTATTTTAATAAACGGTAAAATGGTATAGTTACCAAATAATTGTTTTAGAATACATTTCTTTAGTTTATTTTCAGTTCACACTTGGTTTGCATAGACAATTTATTTTTTAATTTCTAAAATGTATTTTTTATTTTCTATGTATGGTGTTTGCTTATATATATGTCTGTGCACCACATACATGCAGCACCCATGAAGACAAGACGGATTTGGATTCTCTGGGTCTGACTAACAGATGGTTGTAGGCTTTAATGTGGGCACTAGTAACCAAACCCAGGCCCTCTGGAAGAGTAATCAGTGCACTTAACCCCGAGCCACCTCTCCAACCCTTTGTACATACATTTTATATACCTATACATTCAGGACCACGTAAGAACTTCTTGGGCAAAAGGAGGTTGTGGATTGAAAAGCTTAAGAAGCCCTAGTTTATACAAGTGATAACCACACTTCTTTCTTTCTCCTACCCTCTTCTCTTTTCTCTCTACACCATTTTCTCTCTCTCTCTCTCTTTTTTTTAATAACAGTTTCATTTTGTAGTGAATTGGCCTAAAACCCCTTGTATAGTCTAGGCTGCCCTTAAACTCATGATTCCTCTGCCTTAGCTTCCTAAATGCTAAGATTGCAGGTATAAGCTGCTATATGGCTGGCTGATAGCAAGACTGTTAATGCAAAATGGGAAAAATCTGTAAATGTATTTATATAACTAATAATCTTTAAAATACATACTTTTGTTTTCCCAGTGTCTCTCTACATTATGTATTTTATACTAATATAAAATACCATAATAACCTTAAAGAATATCTATTCCACAATTTGTATTAAGACAATGTTACCAGCATATAACCTAGTATATTTTGTGAAGAGTATACTAATCTCACTTCTCCTTTCTAAAATTTAAGGCTGGAAATAAAAATAGGAAGGAGTTAATTGCTTCTATAGAAATATGTTTAAACAGATGACTATTAACTTGGGCCTAGCCTAAAAATACTAGATTTTGAAAACATATGTTAAAAGTAAGTTGACCTATAAGCAGATACATATCTGAAATTTAATTTGATGTAACAAAACAGATACATTACAGTGGTTTGATTAAAATAAATAAATAAAATATAATAAAAATTTTGTGACCAGAAAGCATACCAATCATTTCTCCTGCAGCTCCTTCATCTCCAAATCCATCTCCATTATCAAAGAACAAACACTTCTCCTCATCAAGGCTTCCAGAACTATGTTCAACTACAAGACCACTGGAGTTCATTAATATGTTGTCATCAAAGAATCTATGTCTTCTGAGAAGTTCGGGTTCATCCCCTATATAAACACGTATCATTAGTGCTACACTAATCCTAGTAAGATATACTTTTAGAGTTAGAGGAAACTGAGATATCATCCTAGTCTATGAAGAAAATAAAAGATTTAAAACTATTAAATTAGCCAATAAAAGACATCCAGATTTCAAGTTTGATACTCTCCCAATACAACAGGAAAAAATGTCAGAGCATTCAGTAGAGTTTATAGTTATATAGTTTAATATATAGTTATATAGTTAAATCATATCCTGGAAGGCCTAAATGCTGTGGGATTTATTATATATATTATATATATATATAATACATATTATATCCATATATTATATAGGTCATATTCTGTTTGACCAAGTATTATTTCATATCATTTCATATAGACAACTGCTTGAACAGTTTATGCCTAAGAAGAATCTGGAAAAATCTGCCTAAGGCTACAGAGAGAAACCCTGCCTCAAGAAAAGGTATGTTAAAATATTAAGGAATGGGTTTATAATACTCATTCAGCAAATATTCATAGAATATACTAGGAGTTAAAGATAGAACACTAAAAAGAACACAGCTGGTCACCTAACATTAACTGAGTACTTAGTTAATTATATTATGTAATAGAAGACAAAACTCTCATTTTACAGAGAAGCAACCATCACTGAAAGGCTTGAAGCCAGATCATCATTAGCTTATATTGATAGTTATAGAGGACTCAAAGTTAGCTCTGGCATGTTCTTTCCAACCTTTGGATCTTAAAATCATTATGTCCATGATTCTGAACCATGATATGAGGTTAATCTCCTCTCCCTTCCAGTAATCCATGTTAATTATTATTCAGTAAAGAAAATCATGAAGTATCACTCATCTTGAACAATTTCTATAGACCTACATCACACTGGATCAAAGATTTGCTAAATGCACTTCACCATTTTTTGAGAAAGAACTAAGAACATGTTTGTATTATTCAGATGTAGCTCTTTCCTAAAAAGAAAACCAGCCTTGGTTAACCAGACAATACACTTAGGAAAAGTGTGAGAACAATGATAAAATAAATATACTGTAAGACAGAGAATTAGCATCTAGACCAGAAAAAAAATTGGAGACCATATTTACACATAAAACAACCATCCTATAGCTATCTCTACTACCACTGTTTTCATACAAAATGCAAATATAACTGATGATGTCTTATTATTTTGGTTTCTCACCAAAGCTCCCAGCTTGGAAAAGTAGATCACTGCTATATTCTTCTCTAAGTGTGATTTCCTCTGGTTTACTTTGGTTCTGAGCAAGAGGCTTTGAAATATCAATATCACTATAGAAAAAAATATTTAGGAAACATGAGCAGAACACCATGGTTTTACAAACTATTGGAAGAAACTTAAAATTAGCGTATTATTTAAAAACAAAGTTATGAACATCAACTTTTAGACATAAAAGTAATTTTCAGGTTAATAAATCTAGTGGTGGTTCTCAGTCACTCTTTTACTTATGCATTTGAATAGATGGGCACTTTTGCTACGGCTTGAATATCTGTGTTCCCTCCTGGTCCAAATATTGAGATCTACTTCCCAGGGTGATGCTATTAGGAGATGATGCCTTTAGAAGGTAACCAGATCATAAGGTCTCTGCTTTCATGAACAGAAATTTTGCAGCCCCACATAATCACTTAATACTTGTACCATGTGACGGTATAGAAAGACTCTCTGTGAACCAGGAAGCAGAGCCTCTGAATTTATGACATCTTGACTTTGCTCTTCCTTTGTCAATGTTGTGACAAGAACTGGGTAACTTATAAACGGATATCCATTGCACACTCTATTCTAGAGTTTGGGAAGGCCAAAATCAAGGCACCACAGATTAAGTATTTAGTATGGGTCTATTTCCCATAGACAACACTTTACTTCTGTATCCTCAGATAGTGGCTGTGCAAAAAAGCTTTCTTGGACTAAGGAGAGCTCTCAGCTTTCAAAACCTCATCATACTCAAAGGCTCCTACCATTTACACCATTACCATGGGAATTAGGTTTCAATATGTGAAATTAGAGAAACATACATATGAATTTAGACCCAAATTATGTTCTCCAAAAACCTAATTTACTTCCTTTTCTCTCCTTCCTCAACCTCCATCCTTTAGTTATCCTGGTTTCAGTAAGTGGTAGCTCCATTTTATGCTCCAAATCAAATAGTCATTCTTTATTTCTTTAAGGCCACATTTAATTTACCAACATATTATGTCTACTTTGCCTTCCATACATTCCATTAATCTGAGTGCTACCATCTCAATAAAGTGAAGTCTGAAAACTTCTCTAAAATTATTTCATATGGACTTACTACAATTATCTCTCAAGTTTTCTTTTCCTTTCTTTCCCTTTTATAGTGAAGTAGCCAAAGTGAGCATGCTGAGACCAAGTGAGTTCTGGTCACTCCTCTGTTCTCTATTCAAAACTCTCCTGCATTTCCTCTCCCAGCCAAATAAAAGCCCTATTATAGCCTACAAACCCTATGTCACCTGTACCTCCTGCTCCTTCTCTGACCTCATTTCTTTACCACTCAGCCCTTCTTTCATTCCATTTCATCTTACCTGCCTTCTTGCTGTTCCTGAACATGTCCTGTCTTATAGCCTTTCCATTTGGTTCCTGTATTTTCATTTGCCTTATGCCATTCCCTCAGATTTTTACTTCACTGGATAGTTCCAGTACAACATTCTTCTATGTTGCTGTAAGGTTTGTTCCCTTAGGCTTGTGTTCTTACTTTATCGGAAAACCCTTTCCTGACAACCCTATTATTTGTTTTCACAGTTATTTATCTTCATATTCTACATGTACTTGTTATGGTTACTCTATACCAACTAAAATATAACATTCATTAGGCAAGAAACTGTTTTATTCATTGCTATTTCTTTAATGCCTAGAATTGTGCCTGGTATAGGGAAGGCACTTATTTAATAAATATTTACTGGGTGAACAGATATGCTCTCAAGATTATAAATAAATGAGGCATTTTTGGTTTTGTACTTTGGGATTTCACACTGCAATTTAAGCCTTTGTCATTTGTACTTGTTCAGTTGTTTTTTAAGTTGAAGTTGCCTTCACAAAGTGTGAATATGAAAACAACAAAACATGAAGAAGTAAAATAATTTACTTCATACTATAGATGTCAAAATCATGAAATTCTTCAGGTAATGTGATACTATTGTAAGCTGCTTCAAAATTCTCTTTTGGGAGGTCAACCAGTCCTGAAAATAATGAAAAAGAAATACAATAAGCAGTGTTCCTTTATGAAACATTAAACTTCCAATTAAATCTTTGACCTCTCTCATGGGCTTCCCTATATCCACTCCTGCCCCTCAGCAGCAGTTTTTTTTTTTTTTTTTAATGAAGCAGCCAGAGTAACAGTTTCCAAAAGCAAATAAATCAGATAACTATCATCCTTAAAGACTTAATTATGAATAAAGTAAGTTCCCCACTATAACAAACTGAAGTTCCTGACTGGAGCTTCTGTAGCCCTATACTCTTATCATACATTATGTAAGGACACTCTCCTCAATCATTATACTCCATATACATACTACCTTTTTTGTTCCCTGGAAAGAGCAAGCCTTTTTTTTTGTTTGTTTGTTTTTTTTTTTCACCTCAAGACATTTGTATTTGTAGTTTCACTTGCCTATATTGCCATTCCCTCGGATACTACTCATGTATCTGAGTACTTCTCATTTTTCAAGTATGAGTTTAACTTCTGTCCTCTCACAAAGGTTTTCCCCAACTACCCTTTACAATGTACTCTGTTATTTTCTGTTGTAGATCTTGGTTCAGTTTTCTTTGTAGCATGATCACTAACTGGCACAATAACACATGGCTTTTTAATCTCAGCATGACCACAATCTGTAAAATCTGTAATTATTGTAGTGCGTTTTAAAAACATTTTTATTATCTGATTTCCTCATCTGACTGAAAAGAATTATTCATCTTGCATGTCTTTGTATTCCAAAGCCTAACAAGAATCATGTTAAGCACAAAGCATGAAAGTCAATAAATATATATAAGATACATAATAAATGAGCAAGAAAACACAGTATGCATATAAATCTACCTAAAGACTCTAAAACTATTTTAAATGAAAAAGATTTTTAAAAAAAGAGCTATCCGTTGGAGCCCACAAATGTTGATAGAGGGATGCTATATGAAAAGCTCTAACATAGGTACTGTAAGAGATTACAAAAATGTATTTAAATTGTGTGAATTTCTAATTTGGCTCTCCTAAAGTCAAAAACAGGTATGCAAACTAAATGAACCATTAAAAGTATTGGTTTCTTACATAATTGTGATGATTTTAAGTATTTTCTTTTTTTTTTTTAAGATTTATTTTTTATTTATTTACCACATATACAGTGTTCTGCCTGCATACCAGCAGAGGGCACCAGATCTCATTATAGATGGTTGTGAGCCACCATGTGGTCACTGGGAATAGAACTCAGGACCTTTGGAAGAGCAGCCAGTGCTCCTAACCTCTGAGCCATCTCTCCAGCCCCATTTTCTTATATTAATATATAAAACATAACAACTTTTGGAAAATATAACTATTTCTTACAAACACAGGAAAAGACCACAGTAAAGAAAATAATTATCTTAATGGAATCTTAATATTCAGTAAAAATGAAGTTTATATTCATTATATTCACAGTATGCTCTATATTAAAAGAGACTATCCAACACAAAAATGCAAAAAGAATCAAATATTGACACAAATTAACATTGTATGTGTACCTGGGCGAAATGTCATCTTCATCTTAAGAAATGCTTCACTGCAATCTGCCAAAAGATATTTTGCCTTCCTATTATAGATTCGAACAACTCCCAAAAGAAGGTGTCCTGAAGTTCGGAGTGCGATTTTCACCTATGAATAATTTTTTAAAACATTAGAACAATAAAGATTAGGTTTATAAATCCTGTTCTTTAAAAATTAAGGATATAATTTCTCTTTGAAAAGCAATTGTTATATTCTTAGTAAAGAAACCACTTTTTACTTCACCATATAAAATAATTTACTTTTTTTTTTTTGTGGATTCAGCAAAGCCATGTTTCACTTAAATGCCATATTAGAGTGTCTTTGTGCAGACAATAATTTGGGGGGGGGAATTAAAAGAAATCACCTGAGAACCAAAACTGTCTTGGAAAAGAATTTTAACTCTTCTACAGCAGCCCTGGTTAATACAAATTATCATTTTATTCAGTAACATACCTTAGGTGAAAGAATTTTTTGAATGGTTATCTCTATATTACACTCAAACACATGGGCCTTTGTGAGTTTCTTCTCCCAGTGAGCTGCAAGCCATATTTTGGCCAATGGCCCTCGTTTAGTCATAAGCACATGAGTGTAGAACATGTTGCCTATATTCCTTAATTATATTTAAGGAACTAGAGAGAACACAAAACAAATGTCATTTGATAAGAAAACCTTTTTGGTATTTTTTTACAATAAAAACTTGTCATTACTTCTACAAAATAATACTCAAATTATCTCCTGAACTAATGTTATTAATGTTATGTAGTAATAATAATAATAATAATAATAATAATAATAATAATAATAATATTGAAGATAGTCCTTGCTTATAGGCAAAGGTGATCTGGATCTCCTGAACTTCCTGCTTTGGCTTTCACATATGTACCCTATGCCTGGCTTTAAATATATTAATGTTGAAGTTAAAACAATAGATTTCCAAAGAAGTATAAAAAAAAAAAAAAAAAAAGCAAGAAAACAGGGTATATGTCTTTAATCCCAACACTTGGGAGGCAGAGGCCAGCCTGGTCTACAAAGCGAGTCCAGGACAGCCAAGGCTACACAGAGAAACCATGACTTGAAACAAAACAAAACAAAAAATCATTAGTCAGAAAAAAAAAAAGCCACCATTGAATTTTAATATTTTGGAGTAAGGCTGATACAATTTTCACCTAACATATAAGACAGAAAATAAATGGCTATTTCTACAACCCACACTACTGATGACACCACAAGGCTCTATTTTGAAGTAAAAAATGAGGAGAGATGTCATATCACTTTGGCTTTTGGAATATGAATTACTGCTTTAATATGTCATCTGAAACTGCCACCATGTAACTAGCTTTACTCCTATCCTATTCTAAGTTTCGGTAAAAAGGGAACACTGAGTCAAAATGTAGACAAACATTAAGTCAGCCACAGAATTAAAAACTTCGGTCAACTTTGATCAATGCCCATTTCTACCGAAAAACATCAAACTAAAGGTTACAGTCTATGAAACCACAGTCCCTAGGGAGACACTTTGATATGGCTATAGCTTGTTCTCTGTGGATGGCTCTACTTCCTTTTAGTACCTTGGAATTAATTCCAAATCTAAGTTTAAAAACTGCTCCCAAGCCGGGCATGGTGATGCACCCCTTTAATCCTAACAATTCGAGAGGTAGAGGCAGGCAGAACTCTGCGAGTTTGAGGCCAGCCTGGTCTACAGGGTTCCAGAACAGCCAGGGACTACACAGAGAAACCCTGTCTCGAAAAACCAACCAACCAACCGAAACAAAACAACAAACAAACAAAACAAAACAAACAAAAACCTCCCAAGTGTGAGAAAAAATAAAAATATTTTTTCGGTAAACAGATTAAAAAAATAAACTTCAAAAAGCCAAACTCTGGGACTTTACTTTCTGGAGACCTTCGTTTACTGGGCACCATTCCACCTGACCCCACCCCACTACCATGAGCCCCTCTTCTCCATCCCTCTGATACCACGAGGGTGCAGGGTTAGTTTTTCACAGATTACCTCACCAAAGGGAAGACCAAGGCTGATATAAGGAAGGGGGAGCAGGGGATGGGGCTGATTCCCGGAAACCCATCCAGGGAAGGGAAGGCCAGGAGGTGCGGCCTGGGCAGGTGCCTAGGGGCCTTGCAGGGAGCCTGAGGTGAGGCCTGAGGAGGGAGCGGGAGGAAGGGCGACCAGAGGAGCACCGGGCTGAAGGGAGGGTGAGGAGTGCAGGGGCTGAGGCCGAGCGGCAGCCAGGGTCTCGCGCTGGGGACACCCTAGGCCAGAGCCCCAGGAGCCAGGTGGCCTCCTGAGGCGGGCCTCGGGGCTTGGTGCCAAGGTCTCCCGGCGTGCGCACGTGGGCAGTGGGTGGACCTAGGCCCCCAAATCGCCCAGCCCGCCTACCGCTCCCAACTGCCTGACCTCGCAGGCAGGCCGCACCGACTTTCAGTGTGGAGCCTGAGCGTCGTGAAGCCACGCACGTGGACGACCCCGGCCCTGGTCTTCTGGCGCTGCCAGCTGCCGGGTGTGGACTACAGGAGGGCACCGGCACGAGAGGGGGCGGGGGCGTGAGGGGCGGGGCGGGGCGTGAAGGGCGGAGCCGGGCTGAGCAGTGAGTGTGATTGCTGAGGAGAGGTGGGAGGGGCGGTATGAATGGGCGGGGTAAGGCGTGAGGGGCGTGGTGGGGGCGGGGCGTGAGGCGTGAGGCGTGAGGCGTGAGGCGTGAGGCGTGAGGCGTGGTGGTTTGCAGCTTGAGAGGTTGTGGCTGCCGGAGGCGCTGCCTGCGGGGTAATGAGGAGGGGAGGGAGGGGGCGGGGCACGAGGGGGCGGGGCATGAGGATGTGAGAGGGTTATGAAGAGAAGTGGGAGGGGCAGGTGCGGAGGGGCGGGGCGTGAGGGTAGGCGGGTTGTGAGGAAGCTGGGCCGAGTAGGTGTAAAGAGGGGCTGATGTAAAGGGCGTGGTGTGAATGCGGCGGGGCGGGAGGTCGTGTAGGATGTAGGAGGATGGAAGATGGAGGATGAAGTATGGAGTTGTTGAGGAGCAGGCCAAGGGAGGCCGGAGAGGTTCAGGTGTACCGGGTGGCTAGAAGGCAGAGCTGAGGCATCCCACACAGACCACTTGCTCAGGATCTGTGCTTGAATTCTGGGAACTGAGCCTCATCCCCGCGAGTTCTTCACCAACCTGATCTACATTAGCGAGCTCCAAAATAAACAGGACTACTTGGAGATACCCTGTCTCAAAAATAAGGGGAGGGAGAAGATCTCTGAAGAAGCGCGAAGGTAGAGCAGGGACAGGCCTTAGGCCCTTTGGTTTTACTGTGAAAGGTGCGATCTCTGTGAACTTCCTTAGGCTGTGTGCTAGTCACTCCCACTTACAAGCTTGCCTTGCAGGGCTCCCATTAGAGCCCTCCCATCACACACAATCCAGGAGCCAATTCCAAATCTTTATTCCAGCCGGCTGGTGACTGTACCTGGGTGTTTGGGACTCAAGTGCAGTCCCGAGCTTTTCTAAGGGTCCATATTTAAGCAGGAAAAGCACATCATGGCTGGAAAGACTCCAAGGTTCTCTTCCCGTAGCTACAATCAGATTTAAAAAAAAATGTGATTAGCAAAAATAGTGAAGTCAGGCTGACCATTGCAAAGAACTCAGATCCTTAAGTTGATTTTCTTTCTGGAACTGATTTTTTGTTTCTTTGTTGTTGTTGATTTGTTTTTTTATTTTTTTTTTAAAGCTCTCCCTTACAGTTACTGGCACTCTACTCAGCAAGACAAAGTTAATCTGAAGTACCAATGGAGTCACTATAGTCAATTTGCAGTTCTTGTCACACTCAAGGTCACTGCAAAAATGATATCATCCTCTTGAACCTCAGTATTCATGGCCAGGTGTCTCTGTGGGAATTACATGCAACTGTAACCCTTTAAGATCAATATCCTTTTCCACTCCAACTCCCTGTCATACTGTATTGGAGAAATAAGGGAAGCAGCCAAGATACATTTATTAATTAAGTGCACATTTAATTTAGGTTCAAAGAGATCCATGTGTATGGGCCGTTGTCAGTTTCTATCTATGGTTAAGTCATTGCTATCAGTCTTAGTGCAAAATGGCTTCTAGACACACAACTATCACCCACAGCTGACTCAGCTTCCATGCAAACGAGGGTCCCATGGTCAAAAACTGTGTCAGTGCTCAGTGTGTGCTCATCATCAGGAGTATGCACACAGGCAGGAATCACTATTGATAGCAAGTCCATGCAAAACGCTTCTCATCATCAGACATAATAACTTATGCAGAAGATTTGGCTATCACAAAGGCCAGTTAAAGCAGAAATCTAGGGCTCAGTAGAGAAAAGTGCTTGCCATGGAAGTGTCAGAGCCTGAGTTCAAGCCCCCAGAACCCATGTAAAAACTGGACACATGATTGATGTAAGTGTCTGTAACTCCAGTGTTCCTACACAGAAATGGAGGGTAAAGAGAGGCGACTACCCAGAAGCTCCCAGTCCAGCTGGCCTGGAAAACAACAAAGAGAACCTGCCTCAAAAAAGGTGCAAGATGAGGATTCACTCCTGGGGTCCTCCTTTTATCTCCAAACACTTGTCATGGCAGGAACATACCCATATTCACATGCAGGAATATGCATGTAAATAAATGTGCATGTAGACACAGCACAAATCTTCAGCAATGTAGCATATACAGTTATTGGCGCATTAGATACTTTTTTTCCAGTTTAATTAAAAAAACATAAACCAAAATGCACAGACTTGTGTTTGTTGAGCACAGGCATGTAGCCCTACTATAAGCAGCAAGCAGGAGTGTTTTTTGTGTGATCTCCTCTGTAGCAGGTAACATCTTATGTGGAGTGTCTGTCTTGGCAATGTGTGATGCCTATAGAAGAGATGTCGTGCAGAGCATAAAAAAATAGTAATTCATTAAGGGAAGCCGATATGTTCCAAGTCAAAATGATGAGTACCTGATTGCTCATTTCATAACCTAATTAATTAAGAAGGGCTGCTATGGTGTAGCAGGCCTTTAATCCCAGCGCTTGGGAGATAGAGGCAGGCAGAACTTTGTGTAGTCAAGGCCAGTTTGATCAACATAGTGAGTTCCAGGACAGCCAGAGCTATATAGAGAGACCCCATCTCAAAAAAAAAAAAAATTAAATTAAATTTAAAAAAAAGAATCAGGGTTCAGCATGAAAGCGCATACCTTTGATCCCATCACCCAAAGGCAGAGGGAAATGGATCTCTGTTAGTTTGGGGACAGCCTGATCTACACAGTAAATTCAGGTCAGCAAGAACTATCTATGTAGGAAGACTCTATATTTGGGGATGAATCATAAATGTACTACAAAAGAAGTAAGCTTTTCTATTTCTTGACATGAAATGCTGGCGTGGATAAAAAAAAAAATAGATGGCTCATAATGTACCACTATGACGAGGACATAAAAAAATAAGCTGGTTAATGTGTGAAGCTGGTTAATGTGCAGTCGGCTTAAAGAAAATTTAGAATTAATCTCCATACTATAAGACCTAAGAGTTCCAATAGGAAAGAAGCTTAGTGACTTCCCAAATTTAATAGGAATCTACATGTCATTAAACTTTACAGTACAAAGAAAACTTAAATTATCCACACATTAAAAAGTTTGTCATTGTAAGACAAAATTATTTCCCTAGTTTCTTTATAGAAAATAATACAACAAAAGCATTGTTATGATTAATCAGCAAAAAGTAGAGAAAATTAATATAGAGCCCTGTTACCCAATCAAGAAAAATATGTGTTAAATCTCTAATGTTGTAACAAAATACTTGAGACAAGTTAAAAGAAGAAAAATTTTGCTCTGGCTCACAGTTTCAGAACTAGGACTTGAGATGGGCCGAGGGCAGGAAGGGTATGTATGACTGGGAACTCCAGGTTCTGGCTCCAGCACTGTCATCCTAGAGAGTCATTTACACTTGGCCCCAGATGCTAGCAGAAGGAAATGGCAGGAGGCTAGCTTTCCTGACACCCCTACCTCCTCTATCTTGTGGCATGCCTCTCCACAGTGTTCTGATAACAGCCTTGAGAAACCAAAGGATTAAAAATTAGGTTTTTGGAGTACTGATCTAAAAAGTTTAAAACATATCAGGCCAGCTGACTTTGCTGCTTCTAGGCAGATTAAGCCAACTGTAGGGAAGAGCTGACCTTGCTGCTCATTAGGAGTATGGATGCTAGGAAACAGGCCTAGATGGCCTTGTTCCTGGAGACAGCACAGACTAACAGACTAATAGATAGCTAATCACCCCCTCTCCCTTAGCAGCAGTCTATCAGTCCAGGACAGGACTGAAACCTAAGGCCAGCACAGGAAAGGACTGAAGCCAAAGGCCGGCAGTTTTCCCTCACCCCCCCACTCCTCCCACCCCCGGCAATAAAGAACAAAGAAAGCTGGAACCTTTCATGATTCTGGCACTTTCCCACTGCAAATAGTTTTGAAATGTAGCATCCTCCTTTTCTGTATTAACCAATAGAAGCTTGCCAAGCTAGAATCCCCTGTTTTGGGCACATTGGGAGGGACTGGGACCTATAAATCATCCACAATCCAGAGCTCAGGGCTCTCTGCTGGATACCAATGCGTTGGTGTCTGTGAGAGTCCAGCTTGAGCTGCGAATAAAGATCCTTGTGTGTTTTGTAATGGTCTTGATCCCTGCTGGTCTTTTGGGGGGTCTCATGAATTGGGCACAACAGCCTCAGTAGCATGGCAAGAGCTCTGGTTAAACAAGAGTTGGGACTGAAACTTAGTTGCCCTTTCATTCCTTTACTCATAACACGTGTCTATAAAAATCACTCTTGCAGAGATGTCGATTTTGTTCAGTTCAATAAGATCATCACAGATTCCAGTGCTGTGCATGGTACCAGAGATGAGAGTGGATGATTGATAATGACAATGGGTAGCTTGTCTGATACTTAACATAATCCTTATAAGGTGGCAGGCACTGCTGTGAATGCCTTACATGCATTAATTTGTTTATCCCTCACAGCAACGCCAGGGAACTGGCAGTATTAGCTTTGTTCTACAGATGAGTACACTGAGGCACAGAGCGTTTAATGACTTGCCTAAGAGCACACAATTAGTAAATGACAGAGCCAGAGCTTGAAGACAGGCAATAAGGTTGTACCTTCCACTGCCAAATCATCCCGACTTCAAAATTGTAACTGTCAAGATCAATGAGATGGTGGATAAAAGCCATTGCCACAAGGCCCACATGATGAAAGAAGAGAACTGACTCCTGCAAGTTGTCCTCTGACCCTTACATAAGAATTGTGACACGCATGTGCCCTACCCATAAAAAGTATATGTAAAAGAAAAGGTAGCTGTCATTATTTGTGTGTATGTGTTCATGTTCACACGTGTACACTTGTGTGAAAGCCAGAGCTCAACATCTAGTGTCTTCTTCAGTTGCTTTCTACTTTTCTTTTTTGAGACAGGGTCTGTCACTAAACCTGGAGCTTGCTAATT